ATTAAACCAAAAGGAGAGGTTCAATGTTCAAAGGTTCAATGGAGATGGAATCGAAGGTTCAATTAGATGACATGATAAATAGTTAAATATTTTAATATGACTTGAATGATGTAATACTTATGTAATCATGATATTTTTTTCAATTTAATATATGATATTTTTAAACCAAATTAGTTCACAATTGAATATGATTCTTGATACTTCACTAAAAGAACTGCAATGCATATTCAAATTAGAAAGCTCTAAAATTAAATTTAAAATTATTCAAACTCTAATTTTAATAAACTTATAGACAAACTAAAAATCTCAACGAGAAAACCCCAACAACACCAAAAATGTTCTAATTTGAGCCAAAATAGGCCAAAATCAAGAGCCTGAAGAACAGTTTAAAGCTTCAAAATTTTAATTGGATGATCAAATATTTTTTAAATTTGACATGCTTATATTAAAATTGAGCAACTTGAAGTGAAAAATCCAACGAGCTGAAAATCGTTTGATTTTTATATCATTAAGATTATTAAATGTTGAATGAATGACTTATGATCAAGGGAATCAATTTCGGGCCTCCAATAAAGTTCTCTAAATTTTATCCATATTTATAAGGTGTGCCACTTCCAAAAATTTAAATATAGACCCCACTCTCTAAATGAGAGGACTCCCTTGGATGGAGATTTAAGATATCTTTAAAGCTTAAAGTATCCTAGAGCCTGACATGAGAACTATCGCCAACAAACCTTCATCGACTAACCACCGCCACTAAAACCTTATCGGGCTGCCACCATCGGACCTTCATTAGCTGGCTATCAATGTTAAAACTCCATTTGGTAGCCACCATAAGACCCTCACCAGTCCAAGAATAAGACCCTCCAACTATTGTCATCCATCAACTATAATATCTGGACTACCATCATTTTACCAAGGTCCTCAAACTGACGACACTTAAAAATAATCCCTCCAAGCACCATCTCCATACTATAGATGTGCTAGTACCATCGTCGCTTAATTACGATATATTGACCTTTATTGCCTAATTATGAGCCTCTAATCTTTGTCGTCTACTGACTATGGACATCGAAGCAGCATCGTATGATTATTATCTTCTGACCATTATTGCCATATTATATAGCGTTCAAAACATTATCACCCAACTGCAGTCTATCCAACCGATGAATACCACTAAGAATGACCTCTCAAGCCATCATTATCAGGTTATGATCGTTTGATTATCACCATCTGCTGACTTTTGTCACCCCACTACCATCGCCCAACCATGGTCCTAAGGCAATAATTTCTCATCTATGATTCTCATACCACTATCACTTCACTTTGATCCTCCAACTACCACCACTTGATTATAATCCTTGGACCACTCTTATCTAACTGTAATAATCTAATCTCCATCGCCTATCAATAATGGTCCTCGAACCACCATGGATAAATTATTGTCCGTCGCTATAACTTTCAGGCTATGAAATACAAACCACCATCACCTCACTACAGTCCTCAAATAATCATTATCCAACTAAGGTCCTTACAACCTCTATTGCTTGCAAATTACAATCTTTTGACCTTTATTGCATTCTAACTATGTCCTCAAACTACCATCGCCTAACCATGGCACTCCAATCACCCTCACCAGACTTCGATCCTTTCAACCTTCGTCGTCCACTAACAATGATCTGAAAGTGCTATCACCTAACTACGACCTTGACCACTATCACCCAACTAGGATATTTGGACCAATATCAACAAGCTATGATTCTCTATTCTTTGCTGCTTACATACAATGATCCTTGGACCACTGTCACCAGACTATAGTCCTCTTACCACTATAGCCAAATAATGGTCTTCGAACCATTATCATCCAACTACGATCCTTATATCACCATCACTTAACTATGATCCTTCTAATCTTAATAACCCACCAACTACGATCCTCTAATTTATATCTTCCACTCACTATAATCCTCAAACCATCATCACTCGATAAATATCCTCTGATTTTATCGCCTAACCATAATTCTTTTGACTTCATTTATGTCTGGGTAACTGAGGTTAGAAGAATAGTAGTTATCCAACAACAGTCTTCTGATCACCATTGCATAACTACTATTCTCTTACCACCGTAGCTTGACTAGACTTTCTAATCGTTATCACCTACCAACAACTGTCCTCTAACCACTATTTCCTAATTATAATCCTTTGACCTCTGTCGCCCATTGAGTATGGTCCTCCTGCCCTAATTACATGGCTATGGTCCTTTAAACCTATATTGTATACCATTATGGTCCTCTAACCATTATTATATGATTATGATTTTTTTAATATTTTTCGCACGCTGACTACAATCTTTTAATTACTATCGCCTGCCTATTATCCATTTGACTACCGTCATCTGGCTATGATTTTCAAACCATCATCACTAGAATATGGTCCTTTTACTACCATCACCTAAAAGTGGCCCTTCCACCATCTTCATTTGACTATGGTCCTTTCGAGTTCTGTGGCCCACCGACTATGGTCCTTTAATTAGTATTGTAAGACAACGAGACTTTGATTATCATTGCTTAATTACAATTATTTGACCACTATCACTAGATTTGATCCATCTGACATTTTTGGCTCAACTATAGTCCTTCCTACCATGAACATCCACCTAGAATCCATTAACCTACAATCTTCTAATCATTATTGCATGGCTAATCTAACATTTATAGACTTTATCACCTACAATTACTAATAATGACACATATAATCACTCATAAGACTGATGCATCTCGTCTATATCAACTTTGAATCCCAACTTCAACACTTAGATTTATGTTAAATTCTTGCCAAAGAGCTTTTCCAACCTAAATATTATAGCATGTACTTTATTATTCCCTTCCCTAAATGGATGGAAGCACTTGTAATCAAACACAAACGATATTAGAGCCATTTTAATGTTTTCCCCTTTTTTGAGTTTTTCACATAAAAATTTTGATGTCTCTTACAATCATTGCACTTCTCTTTTTATTTATGTATGTGCTAAATTTTTGTTCAAATCCAAAACATTAAACTCTATATATCTCTACAACCATGAATGTTCTAACACATAGCAGTTCTAAATAAAAATTTTTGGATATTATATTTTGATTATTTTCACGATACTCTATATATAAATAGTTATATGCTTATACAAATATTTGTAAAAATATTTAAAGCACTAACATTAGATTATAATGTCAATAAAAACAAAATTTAGATAAAATTTCACCACCATGTCTTCCTCTACATAAAATCTATTGAACTTCAAAGAGTTGAGAGTATAGAAATTTGGGTATATAGATTTTAGTAGTTTTTTTAATTTAAACCTTTAATTTCTAATTATTTGATCAAAAGAAAATGGATAGATTGAACAATATCAGAACTCGGAGATTCGTCCAAAACCAATTCCCCTTTTAAACTATCAGATCAAAGTGATTCGAACCAATTACATGGAAAAATTGCTTTAGGACTATACCAAACTAGTCAAAGAACAAATCCACAATTAAAGTGGTCAAATCAATCTATTTAATCTAATTTTTAAAGCCTCATTAATCGGTATAAAATAACAAAATAATATACCAAATGAAGTGGTTACCACTAAGCAGAATACCTTGATGTCAACATTCTTGTAAACTGATATAAATTGATTACTGTCAACTACTTTTTCTCAGATTACTTCATCCAAATGTTGAGTAGCTAAACAAGGAAAAAGAAAATTGAATTTCTTTTTTTAAAAAAAGACCATCCGAAGAGTAACCACAACTTACCCTATTTTGCAGTAGAGCTTCTTAAAATTATAACACTAGCCATGTACTACATTAAAGGAATTCTTTTCCAATGTGAATATTATCTATTACAAGAATAAAATTCTCAATTCTCCAATAAAAAACTTTCCTTCTTTTCACAATAGGAAATGCAAAAAATAGGATGTTTGTACCAGTCTATAAGAAGAACTTTCTTTGAAAACTAGAAACTAAAGTGATAAACTTTTTATAATAAAAAAAACAAACACTGAAACCAAATAGAAATTCTCAAAATGCTTTCTTAAAAATAAGAACACATTGTAATATTGTAGCATGGTGTACATAGTCTTAATTATTATGAGAAGTAAGACAAGAAAACCTCCGAGTAGTGAGGTGAATACCCAAGGATTCTTAAGATATGTCCCAATAAAATTTTCTCTCCACTTGTGCATTCTCTTCATATAATATATATGAGCTTTTGGTCACATCGACTCATATATATTCCTGGAATCCCGCTAGTGTTGCTTACTTAGTAATCTTGTTAAATATTTTAGAAATATTTTCATCACTTCTCACGAAGCCCTTAATAATCTTCTCATATCTCAACAGAGCTACATCATCCACATTATTGATAAGTCTATCCATAAAAAAGACCTAGGCTATCACTTCATTAATTGCAATCGCATGTAAGCGCTCGAAGGCCATGAGATCGAGCAACGATGACATAGTGGTATCATCAACTTTTAGTTGGGGAAGAGATAGAATGTTTCCATTTTCTAATTATAGTTATTTGACCACTATTATTGGCTACGATCAATCTAACTTTTTTCGCTCAACTATTGTCCTTCATACCATGATCATCCACTTATAATCGATATAATCTTTTAATCACTATTGCATGGCTACTCTAACATTTATTGGATTCATAACCTACCATCACTAATAACGTCAACACAAATCATCATTCTTAAGACTGATGCATATCATCAATATCAACTCTGAATCAAACTTCAACACTTAAATTTATGCTAAATTATTGCCAAATAGTTATTTAACCTCAATATTATAGTATATACTTTATTATTCCCTTTCCTTTATGGATGGAAACACTTGTAGTCAAACATAAAAGATATTGGAACCATTTTAATGTTTTTTTTTTTTTTTTTTGAGTTTAATTTTTTTTTTTTTTTTTTTTTTTTTTTGAGTTTTTCACATAAAAATTTTGATTTCTCTTACAACCGTTTCACTTCTCTTATTATCTATATACGTGCTAAATTTTTGTACAAAAATAAAACATTAAACTCTATATATCTCTACAACCATGAACATTCTAGCATGCATCAGTTCTAAATAAAAATTTTGGGATATGATATTTTGATTATTTTCACGATACTTTATATATAGCTATATTCTTATACAGATATTTGCAAAAAGATTTAAAGAACTAACATTAAATTATAATGCCAATGACAACAAAATTTTGAAAAAAAATTCACCACGATATCTTCCTCCACTAAAAAGTTATTTAAAATAAAGGAGTTGAGAGTTTAGACATTTGGGTACATAGATTTTAGCAATTTTTCAATCTCAACCTTTCATTTCTAGTTATCTGATCATAGCAAATGGACAAATTAAGTGATATTAGAAGTGAGTGATTCCTCAAAAAACCTGATCAATTCACCAATTCCCCATTTCAACTATCGGATCTAACTTATTCGAATCAATTACATGCAAAAACAGCTTAAGCATTAGACCAAACTAGTCAAAGAACCAGTCCACGATTAAACCAGAGTAATCAGTAAATATAATCCATTTTTTAAAGCCTCATTGATCAATATAAAATAATAAAATAATAGACAAACTGAAGTGGCTACCACTAACTAGTACACCTTGATGTAAACTTACCTGCAAACTGATAGAAATTGATTACTATCAATTGTCTTTCTTCATATTACTTCCTCTAAATGTTGAGTAGCTAAATAAGAAAAAAATCAAATTTTTTTCTATAAAAAGATCCTCCAAAGAGTAACCACAACTTAACATAGTTTGCAGTAGAGCTTCCTAAAATTATAACACTAGCCATGTAACACATAAAATGAACTCTTTTCCAATGTGAATACTATCAGCGGCAAGTACAGAATTCTCAATTCTCCAAGAAAAAAACTTTTCTTTTTCTTTTAACAATAGGAAATATAAAAGCAGAACGTTAGTACCAGTCTACAAGATCGAACTTTCTTCAAAAATAAAAAAGTGAAGTGATAAACTTTAGATAATCAATAAATAAGCACTAAAAGAAACTATAAATTATCTAAACACTTTCTTAATCACAACTATGCTTTGTAATATTGCAATATGATGTATATGGTCTTAATTACTGTAAGAGCCAAGAAAAGTAAACCTCCAATTAGTGAGGTAAAGACCCAAGGATTCTTAAGATATGTCTCAATAAAATTTGCTCTCCACTGATGCATCCTCTTCTTACAATAAGTATTCAGCTTACGGTTCACACCGAATATGTCGTTCTTGAAACCCACCAGTGTCGCTTCCTTGACAATCTTTTTAAATATTTTGAAAATATTATCATCACTACCCACCAATCCCTTAATAATCTCCTCTTTTCTCAACAGAGCTACATCATCCACAGTATTGATGAGGTCATTCATAAAGAAGACATAGGCTGTCACTTCATTACCTGCAGTTGCATGTAAGCGCTCGAATGCTATGAGATTGAGAAACAATGACTCAGTAGTGTCATCAACTTTTAGTTGGGGAAGAGATAGAATGCCACCATTGAAACTAATGTCTCTAAAAGAATTAGTTTTGCTCTTGCAGAACGATACTCCTGCATTTTTGAGCCTTGTGGCTGGTTGTATGTTCTCCTCGTAGCTCGGCAGGTACTCTCCCTTAGATGTCAATATCTTTCTATACATATCTAAGATGTGAAAACATTCATCCATTATCCGATCTTCTGGTGAAGCCGAAGGGAGGTTGTAGAAAGCTTTGATTAGACAATGCACATCTCCAATCTGATTTGGTAAAATTAAGAGATATTCTTAATTGGTCTAATAAAAAAGAATATTAATTTGGCCAATTAATTAAATGTTACCCCTGATCCATCGATGGATGCCAATGTAGTGAGCGCTAAAAGCGGGAGCTGGTTCTCAAGAAGAAGCATATCTCGCTTTAGATCGGGAACGACATAGATCATTCTCTCTGATCCAAAAACTGGATCATGAGAGTCGTATTCGCTCTGCTCCCCGGCGGCGAATCTCTTATCAGCAAGCATGATTTCTAAGGCGAAACAGCTGTCCGTGATCATAATCTTGAGGAACTCGTCCTTCTCCTTGAGCCAATCACGGCGGCGGTATTGGCCACATTTTAAGCAATCCTCGTTGTCCTCCTCGACTTGAAGGCCATCGTAGTAAGCAATGAGGCAGGACTCCACCCTTCTCATGGCGATGAGGACGTCATAGGGGGTTTTGGAGGCTCTAGCAATGCGGCGGTGGAATTGAAATAGGGCACTGTTTTTGCTCTCCTCCGTGGGGAGGAGATGGCGGCTGTTGTGGTGGTAAGGGCCGAAGGAAGCGAGTTTGGGTTCGTACGGTTGGTTATCGACGTGGATGAGGATTTTGGGAATACGATAAATGGATTTGAAACATGTTTCCTGAGCCGGCGGGTTTTGTGGAAGTTGGAGCTCCTTGGTCAGATCTAAAATAAAATTTTCCGTCATAGTTAAACTTCTTGTTTCGCCGGCGAGCAAGATGGCTCTGCTGATTCCCTCCCTTCTCTTTTTATGTGGATGGGTGGATGGGAATAATGCTATTTAAGGGCTGTTTGGTATCGGATTTACAGCTGTATTTAAGCGGGATTTACGGCTAAATCCAGCAAAACGGTTTTTGTGTGCGGGATTTACTCAATCCATCGGTTCGGCGGATTTTACGTGATTTGGCCGAAGAAGAAGCGAGCGGAAGGGAGAAAGTTACGTCCACAGCCAGCGAGCCGATCAAAATGTCGTAACTTCCGATCCGACAGGAAGGGAAAGTCGTCGAAGAAGCCTAGTCGAACAGCCACGAAGGAGCCGGAGAAGCGACGCGTGCAATCTCTACACCTCCTGCGAAGCAACGAAGCCGAACTGCAACGACGAAAAGAGGCAAACCCTTGACCGCAGCTTCGTATCTCCATTCGACGATCATCCTCGCCGAATCAGCCCGCCTCGATGCCAAAGCGACCCATCCCGTCCCGATCCTTTCGTCCCGACGAATCTTGGGTCGCTGGCGGTGAGGGGGAGGTAAGCGAGATCGGCCGCAGGTGGTTCCGTCTGGTAAATCACCGTATAAAGTTTTGGTTTTAATATTGGCAGTTTGATGAATCTATTAAACACTTAAAGATTATTCTTCAATTGACCTGACACCTCATCCCCGTTAATGAATCTCTTTTTGGGCTTGTTCAGCATTTCCAAGGCTTAAACAGAAGATTGAGGCCCTTGCTGCCAGATTATCTGTTCTGAAGTTAGGAGCATTCCTATTTTCAAGGTTTCTTTTGAATAGTGTTCATAGGGTTCATTTGAAGTTGCAATTTTAATAAAAGATTGCTAAATTTCCAGTTTTAATTTTGTCGATCTAACCACTGATTTATTTATTTTCTGAACTTTGTCTATTTAAACATAAAGGCTTCGTTTGTTCTCCTTCAAAACTTTTTCTATCTCATTTTTTCAAATTGAAGCAATGACTAATCAGCTCAATTTTTTTATTATCACTCATTTCAGTAACAAGTATTTTTTACTTCATTTCCTCACTATGGTGGAAAATTATGCAAGTTTTAGTTTGCAGGTGATTGACTTCCAATCCTTAAATTATGCAACTTTAGTTCTCTTCTGAATTAATTTTCTATTAACGTTTTCCATTCAATATTGTCCTTCAATTCTGCTTTTTTAAATCTGTTATTAGTTATTGCAAGTACTATTATTCATTCAAATCTACTTGTTTGCAAATTTCAATGAAGTCAAATTATGTCTAGTCTGTTTTGACATGGAGACCTAATAATCTTTATTTTCTTATTCGTTTACAAAGAAGCATGCTTTTTTTAATTTCTTGTTCAACTTTTTACTATATCTTTTAGATCTGTAACTATTTACAACGAACATATTATGTTTTGAAAATTTTAAATATTAAACTGCTTATTATCTAAAAACTTGTAGACAAATTGTAGTAAACAAAAGTATGAGATCGATACGTTTTCTAATAAAAGATCATGGATTTGGGTCAAATATGATATTGTCTATGACTCGGTTTACATATAATTCGTTTGTCTGTATGTCCATTGTAATTAGTCGTTTAAAGATTGTTATGAGATTTAAGTATTTAACTTAGAAAGCCTATAAATTGCATACAAGAAAGATGTGACCATTAAAAATTTTCAAGGTGTCACAAATAATTTTCTACAAATTGAAAATTTTGGTGAATTCTGATATAAATCTAGTTTCAATATGTAAGATTTGACCTTACTTCCTAAGCATACATGCAATTTCTTATATCCTTCTCTCTTTCCATATCTTCCTTGTGAGTCCCCATCAAATACTTTACTTGATAATTCTATGCAACTTGCTCCTAAGAATATTAGAGATGACAAGATAGTGTCCCTTGGTGATGAGTGAAATTTTGGGCATGAACTTTTTTTCTTTTGCCGATAGAAGTTCTTGCTTATAAAATTTGAGCTTTACAGTTTCTCTAATTCCTTTACAATGCCCCGTTTGGTGTAGTTGTAGTTAATAAAAAATTAGTTTCACCAAGAAAATTGGAATATGTAAATATTTGTTTTTATCATATCTCTACGTTTCCTATGGTGATGACGAAGCTTATATTTCTAAGAAAGTGTAGTATTACTTTGTTTCATTCTCCTGGAGGATTGGAAAAACTTCTTTTCTTTCAGTTGGGAAAAAGTTCTTTAATTGCTCATGTATATTATTTTATTTATATTTATAATTTGATCATAAAATTATTTTTTTAGCATTACATGTTTTTTTAATTTGTGACATTTCTATATTCTTTTATGAGACCCAATTTTATGGGAAAAAGTTCTTTATTTTGTAACTTCCTGGATTTCTTCCAGGAAGTCAAACCTGCAAATTTGTCTAAAAAGTCTGTTGCTCCTCCAAAGTTGTAATGCACAAGTTTGGTTCTCCTACAAAGCAGCAATTAGCAGCGTCCCTTGGAAGTTATCTTCTTGTATTGGTGTGAGACCTATATAATATTAATTTTGTTGATTTCTTTCTTTTTGTCTTTTTTCTTATTTTGTTGGAGTTTTTTATTTTTGTCAAAGTAGATGCTAATGAGAGTGATGAGGAACCTTAGAGAAAGAAAACTGAAATTACATGTATGCATTTTAATGAATTCCTAAATTTAACATTTAAAATGGTGGACAAACTTGTCTAATGTTTTCGGCTAATATCATTGTTATAGAAAATTAATGTATTGAACAAAAGCATGAGACGGAGACATTTTCTAATAAAAGATCATGGATTTCGGTGAGATATGATATTGTCTATGATTGGATTTACATATAATTCATTTGTCTCTAGGTCCATTGTCATTAGTCGTTTAGAGGTTGTTATGAGATTTAAGTATTTAACCTAAAGTTATGCCTGTTGCTCCTACAAAGCAGCAATTAGCAACGTCCTTGGAAGTTATCTTCTTGTATTGGTGTTAGACCTATATAATATTAAATTTTGTTGATTTCTTTCTGTCTTTTTCTTTGCTTTATTGGAGTTTTTATTTTTGTCAAAGTAGATGCTAATGAGAGTGATGAGGAACCTTAGAGAAAGAAACTGAAAGTACCCTTATGCCTTTTAATGAGTTCCTGAATTTCACATTTAAAATGGTGGACAAACTTGTCTAATGTTTCCGGCTAATATCATTGTTATAGGAAACTACTGGATTGAATGCTAGCAAGCATAACATAATTTGACCATAAAATTTATTTTAAAAGTTACAAAATCAATTAATAATAAAATTTCTTATTAAAAATATTAAATTATAAATTACTCCTCCCTATTAAAATCCTAAACAACATCTTTAAAAATGTAGAAATAACTGATAACTTATTCCTAGCTTTAGAAGAAAATCTAATCAAAAGCATTAATAGATTTGGCTGTACAAGATACATTACTTCAAGTGGTTGTTCAAGTGTCATTTTCCTGATTTCAGCAAGCATGCATATATCTTATTTTCCTAGCTAAAGAAATCTATTTTCAAATCCGGAAAGTCAGTAACTCAACATCATTGATTATTTTATTTTGAAGCAGAACATGAGGAATGAACAACAAATAAGGAGTTTCCATTTGATAGCAGACAAAAATACTTTATATGAAACAGTTTCCATGGCCTTAACAAAGTAGCAGCTTCCACTGGTCAAGCCACACAGGTTCCTCGTATGAAAAATTAACAATAATTCCCTGAACAAGAAATTAACTAAGCATGTAGAGCGAGCATATTTCATGTATTTTGATCAATTCCATTGGTCAAAATACACCTGTAAGCCCTTCATCGAATCCATCAACAATTCTTAATACACAACTACACAAATGTTCTATTCCACTAAGCAAAAATAAATTCTATTGCACTTTTATATAATTTAAAAATTAATCTAATAAATCCTTGAGTTATACATCGCATAAAGACTTTCACCCTCCATGTTTATGGTATGTAATCCTCTCTCATATATCATATCGTAGAAAACATATAATAAAACTAATCTCATAAATCCTTGGAAAAGCTTTCATCCTCCATAAAAGTTTATCACCACATAAAAGATTTCACCCTCCATGTTTATAGTATATAAGCCTCTCTCTCGTATATCACGTCGTAGGAAACATATCATAAAAAAGTATAGCTGGTTAAATTTGCTATAAACATTTCACCAATGACTAATTGAATCGGTAACCCAACTTGATTTCTACATAAAGGTGCTTCAATTCACGGACAATAACCATATAAATCAAAGAATGTTATTCTGGAGAAAAATTGTTGAAAACGGATAAGTAAGACATATATGGCAGACTATTTGGTGCATTGCTCCTGAGGGCAACCATAATATTATTAATGTACGTAGATGACATACATAATAAGTGAGGAAGCAATTCAAAATTAAAATATTTTTTTATGATTTTCATGTCACAACTTGTGGCCTAACAAAAATAACTCTTATACAAACACAAATTTTTCCCACAAGAATAAAAGAAACTCGATTTTCAATGTGAATTCACTTGGAGAATAAAGGAATAATCTATCTTAAGGCAAAGGCTTTCTCCCCACAATTTTTTTTAACTTGTTTGTCTCCTTGTCTATTTAATGCCTTCATATGAGAAAAAAAAAATAAGAAAGAAATTTCTCGAGACAGAACATGCATGCATACGAGCTCTCCTTAGAAAGCATGGGCATGCCTTGTTTGTACAAGGCAAGCATAGCCAGCCCCAACAAAATAAAAAACAACACAAATAACATCAGATGATTTTTATTAAGGGATTTAAAGGTTTTAACAAATTTTATAATTTTAAATGATTAAAAACTTTTAAATAGATAAAATGATTGATGAACATGATTCCCTATGAGGTGAATTATGCCACCATAGGCTCCAAACTCAAATTAATGATTTTAAATTGGTATAAGATATGTTAAATCTATTTAAAAATATTTAAGTTTAAATTATTTATAATATATTTCAAAATACTTAAATGTTATTTTAAAGATTTTCTAAATCTAAACTATTCAATAATGTTTTTTGAAAATAAGGAGAGTGTAAAAAATATGCTCGACTTAATCAAACATTCTCCAAACACCACCAAGTTCTAGCTAGTTGTCAATCAACTCTTAAATAACAACAACAACAACAACATCAAACTTTTATCCCACTATGTGGGGTCGGCTACATGAATCCTTTTCCTCCATTGTGTCCTATTAAAAGTCAAATTCTCGTTTAAATCTAATAAAGAAAAGTCATTCCTAATATTTTCTAACCTAGACTTTTAGGACTGCCTCCACCTTTCTTAACATAAGTCTAATTTAATACCTCTACTCTCCTAATCGGGTCATCGGAAGGCCGCCGTTTTATGTAACCAAACCATCTAAGGCGACTCTCTCTAATCTTATCTTCTATTAGAGCTACTCTAACCTTTTCACGTATATGCTCATTTCATATCCTATCTCTAAGGGTAAAGCCACTCATCCACACCTGAGCATCCTCATCTATGCCACACTTAACTTTTCTATCACACAACAAGCCCAATGCATTCCTCCACTTCAACCATCCAATTTGAATTCTGCTGATAATGTCCCCATCTATTTCACCATCACTATGAACAATTGATCCAAGATATCTAAAACGTGTACTCTTATTAATAACTTGATCGTCCAAAGTCACAATCCCTTTACTAGGTCTATTACTACTAAAATTACACTCCATATATTCTGTTTTAGATCCACTCAAGCGAAAACCTTTAAACTCTAAGGTTAAAACTCCTTCTCTAGTCTTATCAACAAGAAGAATATCATCAGCAAAAAGCATACACCAAGATACATCCTCTTGCAAATGTCTAATGGAGAGCAGTCTGCCCCGTGTGGTCCACTGCATTCACATCTCCCCCATGCTGTCCACACACCAAAAATCCTAAATCCGCTCACTCACAAAATTTTAAAAAATAGATAATATGGAGAGATCGCTGTAACTACAACTAACCCCCACCAAGGAAACAAGTTCAAAAGAAAGCAAGAAGAAAAAGACCTCGATGATGTATTGAGCAGCAGCGGTGCGATTATTGAGGGAAGCCCATTGAAGAGCGTAATACCCACCACCGTCAGGCTCCGTGACGGAGCAGCTCTCGGCTCCACTAGCCTCTGTAGCTTCTCGAGATCGCCATAGGCTGCCGCCGTGTAGACATCGTTTCGCAGCGCTTCCTCCTCCGTAGCAGTAGAAGCCGCCGTTGAAGACGATGTGACGCCGCCAGCGCTGCCTACGCCGGAGTGGGTGACATCCCTTCGGTCCTCCTCCTCCACAATCTCGATCTCCGACGCCATCGGCAGGGAAGGCCGACAGTGCGACGCCGGAGAGGAAAGAAATCGGAAGGCGGACTTTTGAGAGCAGAATTAGAAGAGGAGGACAGGGTTGACTGGGCTAGCCGGATTTTTGAAGAAGGGATCGATGGAAATGGACGCTGGAGAGAGCTGGAGTGATTTTGTTTCTGTTTATTTTTTGTTTTCCGATTAATTTCAAGATTTAATTTTTTGGGTAACTTAACTTTTATTTCCAGTAAGATTAGTAATTGGAAAATTTATTATGTGTAGATTTCAAATGTGTGCAAAGTTCACGTCACCCAATATCAATATGTATGTAATAATCTCTCAAATAATGGGTTAATCTCAACCATTTTTTTTATTTTATCTTGAAATTTATTAATTAATTGAATTCAAGTTTGAATTTTATTTTAAAATTTGAAATTGGCTCAACAATCAGCTCATTTATTATAAAAAAAAGATGATTTTTATTCAAACAAGTATCCCAATAAAATAAAAAATAAGAAATTAAAAAATCAAAGAAGTGATATATTTTTAAATATTTGTAACAAATTCATATTAAAAATATTGAATTATAATGTATTTTATATAAATATTAGCTGAATAAATTAACTCATGCGTCAACGAGTCGAGTCAAGATTAGCTCTAATTTGGCTCGTCAATTCATTGAACTTAATTCATGAGTCATTAATCAAATTGAGCCAAAGTTGGCTCATGAATTAAGTTTGACTCAATTACATCATAGGAGAGCCCACAATTATCGCAACATTTTGACCTTAATTTTGGTGATTATAATAATTCTTAGGCCAATGATATAATTAAGTAATTCGAAAATGAAAAGGTCATTGCCCTCAACTTCGTGAAAATTTTCGAACTAAACACTAAGGTTTTATTTGGGAAACTTTCTTACTGTTGTCTAAAGCAATTTTCTAGTACAATTCAAAAAAAATTATACTAAAAAATTATAAGTAGTCAAAAAAATATCTCAAATAAAATCTAAGTCAAACTAATCTAACTTGTTTAAAAAATTTACATTTTAACCCATAGCTAAAACACTTTTAAGAAGTATATTTGGCTCATAATGGCATCCAGTTTCTAAGGATTCTTTATTATTATTATTATGGGATTTTTACATACCTAACACATAAAATTATTCTATTTACTTATCTAACACCCAAACATCACTATTTACTTATCTAACACCAGAAAAAGCTTGCCCTCATCAAAACTAAAACTCCGTTACCTCCCGTCATACGCAAACCCCGACCTTATCTTTCTGAAACTTTTGTTTCGCCTTCATCGCCTCGCTTGGTCGGCTTATCCATTTGTTCGTCTATGTATGTTTTTCTCCATTTCTCAATCTCTTTTTCCTTGCTCGGATTGTACAAAAACTCAATTCCCAGATTCATACATGATGTGCAAATTCGAAGTTGCAGACAAAGCTTGATCATCCATTTGTTCGGCCAGTACAAAAACGAAGCTGCATTTAACAATATTTTTCTATACACCTAATAATTTTGAATTGGGTTTCAAGAGGGTAATCGACTGAGTGATCAAACAAATTGTAAAAGAACCTGCTTGTGCCAGATTTGTTCTCCTTTATACCTTTTTCATTTCAAAACTTGAAGATAAAATGTTTAGAGAAAGAAATGGAGACTTGTTTCAAATGAAGCATACTTAGATTCATATTATTATCCTAGAGAGTTTGGAATATGAGCGAGATCAAAACTTAAAGGTTCAGGATGCATCTGTGAATCAAAAAGCTGCATTTCTGAATTTGTTTAGGGGAAACAAGTAGCTGGAAAATTTTAAAAAAAAAAAAAAACATCATCGTGGACAGCGTGGAGAAGACGACCAGCGTAGGCAGCGTGAGCACCTAATTTTTGAATCGGCGTGGAGAGACGACCAGCGTGGACAACAGTTCGGATTGGTTGGGATGTATTCGGACAGCCTGGAGAAGATGACAGGAGGGCGGTGTGGAGAAGACGACAGGCGTGGCGATGTGGAGTTGCTCGATCGAGACGTTCTCATTGGACGGGGTGAAGGATGTAACGAAAGGTAACGCGAGTGGTAATTTTTGTAACCTAGTAGTGTTTTAGGTGGTAAAATAGTAAATAGTAAAATTTAGATGTTAGATAAGTAAATAGAGCAATTTTAAGTGTATATATGTAAAAATATCTATTATTATTATTTGTTTTTAAATATACTTAGACAGACGTCATTGCCAGGTCTTGTGTTTTTGATGAAAAAAGTGAAAGATTGCGTTGAATAGTCAACATTTACCATTAAAATTTATCGAGCAATAATCACATGAGTCATATTTAAAATGTACTTAAACAAAAGCATCATATATAATTCCATGTTTAATTTGGTATGCTTGTAACGCATTGGAGCATAATCAATAGTCTAGACCATGTTGGATGACTAAGGGGAACTTTAGTAGGATCGATTTCCTCTTCCAAATGGCTTCACATGGCGACAAAAATTGTACAAACAACAAATGGCAGTTATGCAAGCTCAGATGTGGCATGAGAGGTTGCATCATCAAAAGTTAGAATTTGTGGTGGTTACTTTACTTGAGCTAATAATGCCTCCAACAAGATTTATGTTTATTGGAATTAATTTTGATGCGCTTGTTGTTCACTTAAATTAATGAATTATTTGGAATATGTTTTATGTGCTCAACCTATCTATGGCTTTGGTGGGTTGTGTAGTTTATATGGATTTATATAATGATATTGGTGGCATGGGTGGTTTTTATGGTGAAAGGCAATTTATGTGGCATGTTATCCTCATATAAGTTTGACTAGCGTAAACATGTTTGAGATTAAGAGCTAAGATTTTGTTCACACTTACACTTTGGATGTTTGATTGAAATACCACTGGTAAGCTCAACCATGGCTCCCTGGGGATATAATCATGGAGAATCTAATTGGATATCATCTTATTTTGAAATCAATGATAATCATATTAGATATGAAGAGAGATTATTGTTGGGGAATTAAACCATGTAGCAAACACAAATAAGAAAAGAGAAATTGCAATGGAAGAAAGAACATCAAAATTTACTGTGGAAAAATCTGAAATTGGGAAAAACTACGGAGCCACACTACCAAGAAATTCACTATGAAAATTTTGGAGAAATGGTAACTCCCTAGGATCTAATTGAAGGATTGAACTTACTTAAACTTATGATTAATCTATCTCATCCACAATTAATAACAATCAGAGCTGCTAACATTTTAATTATCATCACAATATCAACATTTGTCATCTTTTCAAAACAAATATTTATAATAGTACAGATCATAGAAGTCTTTCTACCAAATAAATAAATATTAAATTACAAAAATCATAGTACCTAATATTCTAAGCTCAGAGTCATCATCTAAACTAGATCTACTTTACTGGATCCTTTTCTTTACCAAAAATATTTGAAAACAACAGAGTGAGCTCAACCAGCACAATAGACTTCTTATACTATCCCATTTATGTTATCTGAAATAAGAGAATACTAAAAAGAATGATTAAACAATAAAAAATATTAAACCAACAAGATACTTGCAGAACACACTCAACATGGTCACATATAAGTTACTTGGATAAAGATATTTGGATGCTTCACAAAATATGTAGCCTCAGAAGTTCATTTGCACTTGCCTTTTTATATTTTCATCATCAAAACCCGTAAAGATTTTAAACTTTTAAATTATTCATTTCATATTATGAACAGGAATACAATGTTATGTTTATATGCACATGTCCTGATGCATCATTATAACCCACTTCCACTTATATCTTCCTTTACCTCTCATACCTTTATATAGAAAATGGGGCTATAATCCCTCACACATCTGCATCAAAGCAGATGGGGCCAGAAATGTACTAGCAATGTTACTTAATCTCCCACACCTGCATTGTAACAGCTCAAACTCTTAACTATCAAGATATTATTCGCATTGGCCTAAGGGCATTATAGTTTTGTCCTATTGGTGTAACTTCCCAGGAGGCCACCCATCTTAGAATTTTCTCGAGATGAGCACGCTTAACTATGGGGCTTTTTTAGTAAAATTTCAACCATTACACCAAAAGGTGTCTCGATATTTAAGAGTTTGATTTATATTTACTTGGGAGGTTTCACATGCATTTTACAAGTGGGGCTAGCATCCCTCCAACATCTGCATAAGGCAAATGTGGCTAGAAAATATATTTAGAGCCCTTATAATATAATAGAGAGTGCATTTTTCCCCCACATTAGAACATAATATCCAATGCAATATAATGTGGAATGAAAATGCAATGCAATATTATTAAATGTAGACTTCCAATGCAGTATTTAGAACATGCATGAATTGTCAGTAAAGGCCAAGTTATCTGTAAAATAGGAGATTCATAGAATTTTTCCTTTTTAATTTTTAACTTCAGGGAAATATTCACATAAATATTTTAAGCATTTTATATAACTACAACATTTGTCAAAAAAATCTTAGTTCGATAATAAACTAAGAATTTTATATAGGAAAAAATAACCGTTGAAAACTTATTTTCATATAATCAAAACATGCATAATAGAGTAAACAACAATATATAAAAAATTACAAGGTGAAAACTTTGTAAAACTCAGCAAAAACATGTTTTTATCCATAACTCACAAAAATTAAAATCATAGATAAAGATTTAAGAATCTACCTGGATCTCTACAATTTCTTGAACTGGCCCAACAAACAAATCTTAAACTTAGCTTCTAAACCAGAAAGAAAATTTGTCAGCATGCCTCATTGCATTGTGGTTGCAAGTTTGGAGCTTTGCTTCTCTCAACTCTTTGTCTCCATTCTCATTGACCACGTCACAGCACCAGGGTATGGGGCTCCGCAATGCTGTTCAGTTATACCAAAAAAAATTGAGTGCAAAACACTCGAATCCAAGCAGGGGGAGGACCCCCTGAAATCCTTTGACGAACTCAACATATGGAATAGGTTCAAGATAGCAATGTAACTTGATTGATCAACATAATTAGATTACACACAAAGCTAACAAATGACATTGATTTGTTCTATAAGAATTTTCATAGTGTTATGAAGAAACTATAATTTATGAAAGAGGATCTCTCAAAGCATCATTTCAGAAGTTATCATCTTTATTTATCTAAGCTTGAAAAATTTTAGATATAATTATTGATCTTTAATTCTAACAGTGAAGGGAGTTT